GTATAATATGACAGAGAGAATTAGCTACACTATAGCTGATTTTATGATTAATGGTGGTTTTAAAAGTAAGGTTAAGATCAAATCCTAGCGTTTTTACCTAGATTTGCTGGTTTTAAGACCTCTAAACAACTTTAGATCATGTAGACATACTGAAATTGGTCATTTCAAGCTGTTTAAGCTCCTCCTTCTTAAATAAGATTAAATCGGCTCAATTAAAGACTGTTTAAGTCAGATAAGGGGTCGTTCACTTATGACGTCCGAAATTAACGGTCATTTTTCAAAAAAGAACAATGGATTTCCTAAAATTTCTATTGTTCTTTTCTTGCTGACACCCCCCCCCCCCCCCCCCTAGATGTCATAAGTGAACAACCCCTAAGAATACGAACATTTTGTTGTTAAATTGCATGCGCTTTATACTCAAACCTCAAATACATACCTACTTGCATATTTTTTTCGACAGTTCATTGCACGTCTCTGATTTTTTTTCAAACATTTTTCTTTGCTTTTCATCTGTTAAATGCTTTAACATTTCATGAAAGAAAAATTATTTTTATGAACTTTTTTCTCGTTTTTCTGTTTTTTGTTTCGAAATAGTTTAAATGAGTGAAATATTAAGAAAATATTACAATATAAACATAGGAATATAGCAACAATAACGATTATAATAATAACAATAAATGATATTAAGCTTAATGAGGAGTTTTAAATAAAATTATTGGAGTGAAAAATTTGAGGAATTAGAAAAATAGTGGATGCAGATGAAAATAGTTTTAAAATTTAAAAAAAGTAAGATATAAAATAAACAAAGAGCATAATCTTAAAAAACATTGTTGTTTTCCAAGGGATTCGAACCCTTATTAATATTTTAAATTTTAAGATACTTCAAAAGCATTCAAACTTGTTGATTAAATTCATTCCAAAAACTTAACCTTTATTATCTCTTTAATTAAATTATTTTTGCATTCTCATCCTCACTTCCAGATATATTCTTTTATTTCCTCATTTAATTCTAATTACTTGTCGCAATTTAATTACTTCAAGTCCCATCAAATGACTTAAAGCTCTTCCTTTATTGTCTTTTTTTTTGACAAGCTTTAACGCATTTAAATAGCATTACAAATGCATAACAATTTGCCAACTGTCACTAGCTGGTGGTTACCAGTAACAAATCGGGTAATTCCCGACAGTCATAGTAAAAAAAACTTGCATTTTTAAAATGTTGCATAGACCTTGATTAATCTGGAAAGAAATAAAAGAAATAAACAAGCCGATAATGACATTCAATTTTCTTTAGATATTTCTTTCACATTGAGTTCGATAAAAGTGAAAAAATGTGTAAATGCGCGGTTGCGAGATTAAATAATGCACAATGTAAAAAGATGGAATTTCTCTTGTTTGGGATAAAGTTACAAGATAAAGTTAGATTGGGTATGGAGGCTATTTGCAGTTAAGGAAGTTGAGGGATACTTTGTTGCAGATTTTTGCTGTATCTTGCAGATTTGGATGTGGCTGAAAGTCAATTGTTTACTAAGTAAGCTAGTTATTGAAAGCTATTGGATATTTGTAATCAATTCTTAATTAACGTTGGATAGTTTTAGAAATTGTGGTATCAAAGAATTTGTGGAATTTGTGATATCGAGCAGCATGTAGGTGAATCTACCAGTGCAAGAGTAAATCTTCTATAGCCTAATTAGATAGCAGACCGAAATTCTTTTATCATTTAAAAGGCGTGGGTTTGACTCTTATTAAAAGCCAATCTCTCTCAATCATTGTATGTAGCATCTCGAAGACGGTTTCTGTTTGTTTGATCGCCAAATTACATCTCAAAATTCAATAATCTTTACAAAACTGTTGATCCTGCAACACCAAAACATCAAAAATGTGTAAATGTTACATAATTCAATACATTAATTTTTCTAACATCTACAACCATTTCTAAGCATCACTTATAGCCAGACATAGGATATAACATCAATCAAAAAAATCCCAAAAGTCATCTCCAATCCGATTACATCCTCAAAACTTATAACTGTCAACATTTTCGAGAAAACACTAAAAATGTTTGCAAAAAAATTAAGATTCATATCTTGCCATTATTAAAATTATGATCTCTTATGACTTCCTGACATATACACTTCAGTAGCTAATTCCCACAGCGTATGAAAAAATTTGCAAAATATGATTTTTGTTTCTCATGCTAAGTGACTGTCAAAAATTAATTTTTTAACATTATGAGCGCTTCCAAAAATAGTCAACAGACGTATAAATGTAGCACGACTGTTCTAATCGGAATTCGTTCTTCCTTAAATAAAATTCTGTTCCTTAAATCTATTTACGTGATTTTTACCTATGAATTGAACATTATTATGTAAGAAATGGTAGTGACTTTTTATGGCACAAATCTTGTGACGCACTTAACGCTGTCAATATGCAAATCTCGAGCATTTTCATAAAACAAATTCAATTTTCTGATCAATCAAATTTGTTTGGTAAATTAAATAAAATTAAATCGAGTCAAATCATTTCAGTCATGTGCTATTCACATCTCATTTGGAATTGAGTGTAAAAAATAAGCAACCAAGGTTTTCCATTTTAGTTTGATCTGTTTTTGTAAAGCATGGACAGAAACTGCGATATCATAATCTCTTACTGCTCCTGAAATGAAAATTACAAAAGTCATATTTTATTGTTAATTTGTATGAAAATTGAATAGTTTTGCAAGTTAAATGCTGTGGTGCATTTTTCTGGAACTAATTTGTGTGTAAATATCTGCAAATATGAGAAATTTTGAGTGAAGAAATTGAGCCAATAAATTGGGCTTAATGATGCAAAAAAAAATCTGATAGGCAGTCAGGTATGAAATCTGTGGATGCAATCTTAATGGATATGGGCTATAAAACTTGTAATGTAATGGACCAGACTTGAAAGTTTGCATTTATAAAGCATTGGTATAGATTATTAGCTCAAATCAGTTAAGTGCCTTGCTGGTCGAATAGGTAAGGCGCTTGGCAAAAATTTGGGATGGTAACTCGAAGGTCGTCGGTTCGAATCCAGCCATTTCCAAATTTTTTCCTTTTCGGAAGTTTAGATACTTCGACTTCAGCAACGTTGGATTAAGGAATTGGTCAGGAACTTGAAGTGAAGCGGGAGAAATAGGAACGAGAGCTACAAGATTATCCACGAATAGAATATTGTTAGAACGGACCTGAAAAGTATCACGTCACGCCTACAGAAGATCGAAACGAGAGCCTTAGTTTATTTGAAACCTAGATTTGAAGATTAGAAGCTTGATCCTACATAAAATTAATTCATATGTATACAAATACAAAAGTGTAAAATGTGAATTATTACCGGACAGTATGTCGTTAATAAGTGTAATAAAGTGCAATTAAAATGAAAAAAAAAAAAATCATTTTACTTCTTCCGCTGTGTCACATTTCCACTGATAAACGTTAATTCAATAAGTGATTGATCCCTTAAGTAAAGCTAAGGTGCACCAGACTTACAGTCAACCTACAACTAATTCTGATTATCACAAATCATGTTAAAAATGCTTCCTAATAAATAATAAACAGCACATGCAGTGCACCTTATTATTCTGAATGAAATCACATACAAATTAGATCCAAACAGAAATGAAAATGCATAGCAAACCTCCCAGCATGAAGCTATAAATAAAATACACAAATTATTGGATGTAAAGTGGCATGGAAATTGTGCAAATTATTGTTTTTGGCCATAAACCTATGAGTCAGGGAAGTAAAAAGAAGCAAAGTGCTAAAATTATTTTTTTGGCAATGCACAGTCGGCAATAAAAGAGTTATAATAATGAAAAATTAGCATATATGTGAGGTAAAAAAAATTATATGTAGCTAATAAAGTATTACGTTATTGTTGTGTCAGACAGATATGCTACTTGGTGCAGCTAAGAGAATTGAACAATTGATGCTGCCACGTAAAAATGTGTTAGCATCAACAAAAATCACAGCCGTATTATTCGATTCATTAAATGAAGCATAAATTCAATCTCGCATCATGTTCGTAACACCTTACAGCACCAGTAGCAGCCGTATTAACGAATAGAAATAATTGTTAAAGCATTTCTCATTTCTTTGTGCGTTTGATGATTGAATTAAATTTTTTAAAAGGCCCGTCGATTATAACACAATTATAATTATCAATAGACAGCAACAGCAGCTCTAGTAACAGCTATATTCTTCATGCAACCGTGTGAACTGTTACAATTAAATAACTGAAAAAGAAGTGAGAGAATTATGAGGTCTCAAATTGCACAAAGAATTGTGTCGTAATGATTTGTTCCATCTTTCTCCATCCATTCGAAGCTCATTTAATCTCATTTCACCGAATATATTCGTACCTTCGAGAAATTGCCTTCTTTCTTCTTCACCAACTAATTTTAGATTTCATCACGTTTTTTTTTCTCACTTACAATTTCTATCAATGGGTCTTTGTGGGAATTGAATTGATATATTGAGTCATTTTAGTGAATTGGATTAGATTTTGAAGGGTTACGTAGTTTGATGGATTAATGATGTCGAGTTGATGGTATTTTGAAGTTTTGATTATGCTTTAAGTGGTTGTCTGATGGAGCATCTGTAATTTATGTGAATTATTATGATGTACTTCGATATGTTCTCATTAGGGAATTTCAAAGGTTCATTTCTAACAACTCCAATAACCAAAAACTCTAAAAGTATAATCCTAAAGCTCAAAAATGACAAAGCCTCCGAAAACCATATCAATAAAATGTTATTCACACTAAACGACTTACTCTCGTGCAAATCCAATCTCTTTCTTTCATACTCATTATTAAATCGAGTAGGGAGAGACACACGTGAAGCAGAAAAACGACTCACATTGTAAAAAAATTGAAATAAAATTATGAAGATATCAAAATCGGCTTAGTGAACATTAACATTAAAATCATTTCAATTCATTTTTCTTTTCTCATTCTCGAATTTTTTTACTCTCCATTACAGATGCGAGCAGCAACAACAACGACTAATATTATTGGCAACACAAGTTGTGAGATGGAGGAGAAATCACCAGAATCGCAGGTCACAACGTCGTGTGTTGAGTTGAAAGGTGAACGTTTTGTAACGCATGTGGATTTATCGGAACCAATGGTAAGCTAATTAGTGAATTAATTGATGCCTATAAGTGGATATAAAAGGAAATTGAAAATAATGAAATTAGTGCTGGATGACAAACATTATAAATTAAATCAGACCGTTAAAATGGAAAATATCAACCTCCATGAAATTAAATAATGATCGATCAAACAGAGAGATTTAATTCCTGTGAGATTTTTATCTAAATTTTTTTACATGTTACTTCCAACATTGTTATGCAAAAATAAAAAAAAAATCTCAAAGCACGAAAGTAAAAAATGAGTGAAAGTGTTGCAAATTTGCATATGTTTATTGTGAATAGAATCATTACTGTACATATACTCATATGTTTTTATCTATTACACAAAAAATTTACTTTTCCGCTCGACAGCATCATCAATCAGAAGAATCAGCATTCAAGACATTCATAAAGATGGAAAATAACAGCATAAATTCAAATACAATAGTGCCGCACCTCGATATGCGAACTATAAAGCCATCATCAAATGCAACGACGATCATTGAGGTTAAAGAAAGTCATTCGACATTACAGCAACATCAGAAGATGCAAGGTTCACACAGTTCACTGTCATCAACAACATTGTGTTGTGGAGACGATGAGAAAAAGTCCTTGGATTTACTACAGAAGAAATATGAAGACATGATAAAGGAATTGAATGATTCGCATAAGAGGATTGAAGAACTAGAGAAGTCACTTGAGGTAAATATTGATGATCACAAAAAAAATAATAATAATCATATCCATAATTGATTGATTAAGCATTTAATCTCGTCTGACTGGAAAGACTAAAAATGGTAAAAATAATTTCCATAATCATTTTTTTTCTCTTTCGCTTGCAGGAGCAATACAATAATATTGTGAATAAAGATCGAGTACAAGATCGAATGAAATATTTAGAGGAGCGTGAGAAGCGCCTGGAGAAAGAAAGCCATGAATTGCGTGAACAAAATGAATTGCTCGAATTTAGAATACTGGAATTGGAGGAGAATCAAGATAAAGTAAGTGGAAAAAAATTCCTTTTTGCTTGATTTTTTGGTAAAGTTGTTAAGTGATTTGAACAGTTTGTTCTTTAAGAGTAAGTTTGCAGTAAGTCGGATCTAAAGAATTCTTTAAAATCTAGATGCGCATTGTATGCGCTACAAAGTCAATGATAGTTTAAGCTCAAAACTGGACCCTGCGGTTTATAGAGGATTCTGAATCACTGTTTTGGTGACCTTTCTGTCTGTAGCCTACAAAGGAAGGTTGTGAGCTTAGAATGTGGCAGTAAATTCCTTAACCATTTAGCAACCGAGTCACTTTAACTCACAAAATCATTCTTGAACTATGGCAATAATAAATAAGTTAAAAACTAAGAGAACTGTGACAAAAAAATGGATACTCATCTATGCTGCAGAAACTATAACCCTAAATAAGTCTTCCTTTTAACAAATTGCGAGTCATTCACACATGCATTTTAATAGCTTTGTAAATGTATAAAAATCGATTCTTCGGTAATGCAAAGATTATCTATAAGGTTGTTCCTTACAATTCCTCAATAAAATCATCTGCTTGTAAATTTCATTGACCTTACAAAAGGAATGCATGACTCAATATGCGCTCCAATCTCCATTAAACTATCAAACTAATTTCGTAATTTATCCAGAGCACAAAACACAGAATAATAAGCACATAAGAGGATGAGAACTTTCCTCTTCTTCATGATTCATTCTAAGTGAATCAAAAGAATCATAATAACTAGTTGAAGAAAAGCGAAAGAATGAATAAATTAAGTAAGAATGTAAATTTTTTTTTTGTGAGTCTCGACTTTGTGAATTCCTTCAATCAACTTCCGTGCCTTTTTTTTATCGTCTCTCTTTTCTTCAAATCAATTTTTACAACATAACAAGAAGAATCAGCAGTGATGAATGAAACTGAAATTGAGAGCAATTGGACAGTAAAGAGAATTAACAAAGATTATCACATTCATGAATTCAATTAATTGACTTAAGCTTATTTCTTTAAGTAGTTTATTTTGTAATTTTCATCGATTAAAGTTTCATTTTCGTTTCTATTTATTTTCTGTTCATTTCTTTTCATCCAAACTGCTCCAATTTCTTTTAAAATAATTTCTTTAATATTCACCAATTTTTTTTTTGCTCGCCTTGATGAACAAATTTCGCTTTTTTTTTGAAAAGTTTGCGAATTGGACACCATAAATTAATGACTACATGATGCAAAATATTGGACGAATGTGAATGGATCTTTTTTAAAGGTTTTTTGAAAGTAATTCAAAATTTAATTGATACATAATTTTCTGAATGATTGTTTCGGACTTAGAAATGTGTGTTATCGTGAATATTGAGGCATGTTTAAAACATAATTATCTGATTAGTTGCCTGAAGGAAATAATGGATTGGATGGTTTCGAAATTGGCATGTGGATTGTGAATGATATTGGAGATATTCTGTATAGTAAGTTGGTTAAGGATAAAGGTTTTCCTTTAACATTTTAGAAATCTTAATTAAGATGCTGGTTGGTGTAGACCAGAGATCGGAGCTGATAGGGTTCTAGTCTACTCGAGTTGACTAGAGTCAACTCGCTTCGACTTCGAGGGCTAGTGTAGACTTACGGAACCAACAAAAATCTTAAAACTCAAACTTTTCGTCAATTTCAATCCCTTAAGTAAGAACAAGTAAATGCTCAAAATCTATACTCAGGAATTAGATACATCAAATCGCCAAACCCCATTCCTATTTAATATTTCAAAAAACTTTCAAGTAAATTCAATATCCATTCAAACTTTCCCTTTTTCTTAAAAAAATCATAAGCATTTAAATAATTTTTTATATCACAATAAATTAGCCTTAATGATGACCATTTTTCCAATCAATAAATTTTTTAATTTTATTGGATTTTGAGCATTTTTGTCATATCAAATTTTATTTTAATGTCGTGCATATAAACTAGGTTATCAACCACCGAGTCAATTAAATGATTATGGTAATCTAATTCGCGAAAAATTGTGTCATTAGGATAGACTTTTAAATTTCTAAATATAGTCGGATGATGTATCGAATGTCGTGACTGTTAAAGTTTGATCTTTAATGTTTCAGTTGCCTTTTATGAAAATTATTGATTTTATTTAAATGAAATTTTGCCAAATTAATTTTTACAGCAATTTTTGATTGGAAAATAATTTCTTGCTCATGCTTAGCAGTGAACCGCTAGATAAACAGAATAAGTCAATTTAAATATTATTTTCCAACACCTAAAATCGCTGCTTGACTGAAAGTCCATTGTAACAGTAAATCACAGTTCTTTTAAAGTATTTACTCAAATTTTGATCGCTTCGTTGTCTCATTAACACCAAGCACTCCAAATTCCAGTAAAAATATTTTAATTATACACAAAATATTTAGCCAAAAGTTCAGCATTGACTGGGAGTTGTAAGTCAATTAAATCACGCTGATAGACCCCAAAAATTAATTCGTTCCATCTCATTTAATAAAATTAAGTAATTATTATTATTTGTATTTCCATTTTAATTGAATTTATTTATACACTTGATTGACTTCCCGTGCTGCTCATTGCATGATGAAGATGAAGAAGAAAAGAAAGAGAAATAATAAAAAAAAAATCGGAAGACATTTTTTGCAAATGTTAGCAACAAATCATCGCCATCAGGTCATCATCATCATGTAGCTCTTGAATATTACTTAACCATTTTATCCGACTAGTTTAAGTGCAAAAGTCATCTTCATGTTAGCTTGAATCATTTCCGTATTTCATGAGTTGAAAATATAAATCAATTTAGTGCGAAAAAATCAATCAAACATGCTGCAAATTGGCATGTTTTTGAGTTAATAAGTTCAACAATCGCTTACCATTAATAATTAATGACAGACTCATGTGTTGTGTGCAGTTTAAAGGAATTTGGATTAGATTTTGTTAATTATTGGTAAAATCTCATTAGTTTGTTGAAATACGGGACGAACTTTTAAGGAAGTGAACTAAAACTTACTCAGAAAATGCTTAAAAATTCTTAAAAATCTGTCAAAATATCCATAAGGCATTAAAAGTGCGAACATTAATAACAACAAAGAAAAGAATGTTAATCCAATTTTGGGAAGACGACGTAATGTGAATGAGAATGAGAACAAGAACGAAGTATGAAAGGGAAAGATTTAAATGCTCGAATAAGGCAGAAACCAACAGCACGTTTTAGTTGAGAATAAAAATTCATAAAGATCGCGATCTATTGTGCCGCACACCATACAGGTTGATGACTCATAAAAAAAATAAAAATAAGTACAGAAAAAGCTTCAATTAATATCGAAATGTTGCGCCAAAAAGAGCGTTTCAATTATTTCAGGGCCAAATAATATTTTTATATTTATTCTTTTTTCGTAACTTTTAACTTAAGTATAAGTTTTGCTAGCCTTTTGTTCCGCAAAATTAGCCCGTGTGTGTGGCGCGCGATTGCAGCATAAACATTAATTTTTTTTCTATCGCTATTGTATTTGCAAATGTAATTCTAGAACCACAATGTCTCAATGTCCATCTAACAAGCCATAGAAAAAAAATTGTATTTAGTGAGCATGCCATTGAGCACTTTATGAAAGAATCGTGCTGAGAAAATGAAAACAAAAATAAAGTAAAGAACAGTTGTGAGTTTGATGATGTTTGGGGATGTGAAAAGGTACGAGGCGCAGATTAGCTTTTAGAGATTGAGTCAAAATGATAAATGAAGTTGTTTATTTTGATTGAAAGCTGAACATATTGTAGCTCTCACTCCACACCTCCACCCCTTGCCTCCCTCTTAATGTAAATTTCAAAAGTAAGCTATTACAAGTCAAATGCTGTACTTGAGATGAAATTATGCAAAAATTTTATTGCAATCTTGAACTCTTAGGGTCACCAAATTTACATAGCAAGGCATAAAATTTGAATTGATCATTTCTCAAAATAGACATCAGATTTACGATTTTAAAGCAGTTAATGTCTGTAATTAACCTCAAGTCAATCTACAAACATGATTTATGCTGTAAACACCTACGACTTAAACTTTAAGTTGAAGATCAAATTTCTTTGTCTTTGTTTGTCTTAAAAGCTATTCACTCTTGTAATAATAACAGACAATTAGTCAATTAGACAGTCAAACCTCAATAAATTCTGTAAAATGACGCTAAAAACCATACACATGTGTAATGCCGCAAATTAACCTGTTTATGAATCATTCTCTTCTTGTCGATCTCGCTTTTATTGCCATCGGGTTCTCTGTTTATCTGCTGAGTCTCTATGTCTTTTTAACTTACTGTGTGTGACTGTGCTATAGAAAATTCATTATTACTCTTTTTATTCCAGACAGAAAATTCATTTTCTAGTACAATAACTTGAGAAAAATTAATTTTTTAAGTGCACGATTGAAGAATTCTCATTTTTCATCATTCAGTTTATACTTCTTTCAACATCAGTTATTAAATGTGTGCCTGTCTCGTCTAGCATTTACTGTTTATTGTTCAGCATATTGTTGTGTTTACAAGTTGATTTTGAAATCCATTAAAACACTTTTTTATGACACACAAATCAATATAAGTTATTATGAAATGAGACTATGCAGGGTTGTTCTTAATATCTATGTTGTGTCTTCTTATTTAATTATCATTTAGTAAAGGTTTAAATTAAGGATAGACTTTCAGATGAAAAGATTTGGAACTCTGCAATATTTAACATATTCTAAAGATTGAGCTAGATAACATGTTATAGGTCGGACTATAGACAGTGGTAGTCAACCTGGTTCCCATGTTGCAGACATAGCTTAGACGGAGCACTGAGCCCCAACCACATGACATATGAGACATGAAATAAAGTAGAGTGTGACGCAAAAAAAAAGGTTTACCAGCACTGCTTTAGAGCGACCACTACACTTCAGTCAATTCAAACCAACCACACCCAACCCTGCTTCTTTTTTTTCCTTTCAGATCAATCTTATTAGCTTACTTTTGTATTTACAGCATTGCCTATTATTTGGTAGCATAATTTTAGTACTTTAAGAATTTTAAATTATAATGTAAATTCTATCTCATCAAACATTCTATCTAATTCATCATATTATCGACTTTAAAATTGGCACAAATCATTATTGAACCTCTCACCGCTTTAGTTCATTCAACTAAGCTCCACTATGATCAACTCCATCTTTCAATTTCAGCACACTTTTTTTACATAATCCACAAACTTATTTTAGACAACTTTCTATCGAGTTGACAATTTTTTTTAAGCTGACTTGGTGCCTGTTAAGCTCTCGTTGACTTAGTTTTTAGGACAAATCATAAAAAAAATCACTTGCTGCAAACTATCATAAACTTACTTCTTTGTCGTTATTTTGTACTACTTTTACCGATCACTTAAAGAATATGTTTATGACTTAAGCTGTATGTTTAATTCCGAAAAAAAAAATCTCTTAATTTTTACAGTGGTCTCTACGCAGTAATTTAACACCAGACTCGAAAGACACTTGCAATTGCTGGCGTGAGAAGGAATCTGACGATCTAATGATGATGACAATGTCATCTGATTCGGGCATCACATCACCAAACAGTCACCATTTAGACGATCACCAGAGCGTGTCACCATGCTCAATTTCGGTAATTTTTCTCTTCCAATTTTTCATGTCTATTATTTTATATTTTCAATTAAATATTTACCGTTTGCTGACCCATTTATCATCTTTTAACTTTTCTTTCCATAGCTAATGGATCAATTACCAACAGATGATATGCGTGCGCACATTATCAAGATGTCGAAGAGATCATTCTATAATGACGATGATAAACTTTGTTTCTCACAAATGTTGATGCTATTGAATAGCTTGGAGGCATTGTCTCATGAACAGAGTATTATTGGTGATGAATTTTCATCTATGGATTATTCAATGGTAAGATGACATGGCTGAAAATTCTTTTTTTGGGTTTGGAAATTTAATTGGAAATAAGACTTCTGACCTAAAAAATTTCTAAATTTCTGTAATTGAATTTTGTCAATTTTCCGGCAAGCTAGGTCTTGTGGAACTTACGAAAGCTCATTGAAATTTATTTTTTTTTCAGGACAAGATCAAAACATCACCATCAAGAATTCCAGAACCAATATTGCCACTATCAATACAAAATTTCAACAGCCAACCACAACAGTCTACAGCATCGTCATCACCACCAAAGCATCAAAAGATGATCGCCACAGTACAACCATACACAACAACACAAAATATGAAGGCAATAGCCGAGCCAAAGAAAGAAACTTTTGATGATCATAATCTTGTGACCCAAGAGACTCAAACGGAATCAGTTGATGATGCGTTGAAGCAGACAAATGCTGAACTTTATGCCGAAATTGAGAAACTCAACCGTTTCAGAAAGAAAGTGGAAGAGTCGACAACAAGCGTCTCCAAAAACTCAGCTCAAGTGATGTCAACGGGCTTTGATGCCATTGAGCGACGACACCTTAAATTTTATGAGGAACGAATGAAGATGCTTGAAGGTAAATTGGAAGTCTATGAGAGCTGTGGCGATGTGCAACTTAAGATCTTATCGAAACGTCTCGAACGTGAGACACAGTTGGAATCGAGACTTAATATTCTCGAGGATTCGTTAATGAAATTGGAAGAGAAGAATCAGGAACTTGAAGAGGAGAATTGTGAATTGGAAGAGATTGAAAATGAGACAAGACTTCGTTGGCAAAAACTTGAAGAGGATTATGAAGTCATGACACAAAGAAATTCAGAGCTTGAAATGAGCAAGATGACCTATCAGGAGAAATATGATGAAGCACGTGACAGTGTCGAATACCTCGAAGAATGCCTTCAAGGATCTGAAGAACGAATTAAGGCATTGGAAACAAATGAAAATGAACTTAAACGACGTCTAGCCATATCCCAATCCTTTATACCAGCTGTTGCACTCTTCCAAATGTGGAAAATGAAAAAGATTCAAATACCAATGATGATCAAGTCATCCAAACCAGCTTCATCGTCATCTCATATTGAGGTACCGGACGATCATCCAATCCACAAGAAATTGCTTGAATCACAGGCACGTGAACGACAGCTGACGCAAAACATTAATGACCTCAATCGTGCATATCAAGAGACACTCGAGAATGCTGACAACTTGTGGGCACAAATGGAGAAAGAGTACAAAGATAAAATTGCTCATTACGAGAAAATGGAAGTGAATTTGAGATCAAAAATTCAACAGCTGGAAAAGCGATTAATTAAAGATACGGAAGATGCTCATGAACGCATAGCGGCATTAGAAGATAATGAATATCAACTCAAGAACCGTGCTGGTAAATTAAGTCGTGAATTGAAGGAACAACAGAAGAAAAATTCTGAACTGTATGAAGAATTGAGTTTTTCAAAAGATGAATATCAGAAACTTCAAGCCTATATTAATGGACCGTTAGCTGATGCACTTGAGAAAGAGAAACGTAAATTGAGACGAGCTGAAGAAGATCTCACGGTCGTTAGGAATGCATTGAAAGAAAATGAAACTGCACATAAAAATGAACAAAACCTTCTCAAACGACAGTTACAGAAGATGCACAAAGAGCTTAGAAATTTTGAAGTGACGAATGGTGAATTGAAAGAGGAAGTTGAGACATTGGAACGAAGAATTATCGAACTTGAATCATATCGAGTCGGTGATAAAAATCGAATTCAGGAACTTATTGATGAGTTAGAAACTAAGGCACAACAAAATAATTGCAATACAAATAATAAGCCATTAAGACCATTGCGTTCTGTAAACAATGCACAAGTGCGATCATTAGCACAAGAATTGAACCAAAAACCCACAATTATGCCAAGACAGAAGACAGTTATTCCCATTGAGAGAAGTGCTTTTGCCGATGCCATTGAGAAGTTTGAGGTAGGTTCCTGTGAACATTTACAGAAGGAATATTATGTAAGAAAAATATGTCAAGTGATTTTGCAGCAGTTCCTAATTTACAAATATTTCATTTCTTTTATGAACTTTAGAATCACAATTTTGATCAGAAGCGGGAAATTAAAAGTCTTGCTGACTGCATCATCTCAAATGCTGAAAATAACGGCTTTGTACCTGTAAAGAGATCTTTTGTTGAGGAGGTAAGTGATATGGATATAGTGAAATTTGATATGAGCTAAGCTACGGAGTTTGATGAAGTTAGTCAGTGGAACATGAAAAGATTTTACAGTTTTTGTAAAAGATGAGGTTTGTGGATGACTTGGTTTGATTAAGGAAGATTTAGTTGAGGAATTATTTACTTGAGATGTCCACCATTTAGTTAATAGGATCTGATGTAGAAAGAGGAAGCAGGTGATGTAAAAATCATACGACTTTGTCTGCTGAACACGCAACAACTTCTTACCTATATACACCCTTAGATCAGTGATGGTTAATCTTTGTGCCACGGCACACAAAAAATTTGAGACATCCCATGAACAGTATGTCGTGTACTTTTTCGGTCATAGCTTAACACGAAGGTGTGCCTCGGCAAAAAGGTTGCCCACCACTGCTCTTGATCAGATCCCTCGTTATAAGAACTTAATATCATAATACTAAATCTTACAAACCTAACTGTTCTCAAACTTCACAAATTTATTCATTCATTCTATTCAATTCTACAATTCCCATCTATTTCTCCCTAACAGGCACGTCAAAAGTTCGCAAAATGGGTGTGAAAGACGAGACTGGTAATAGCAAAAAATAAACTCAAATTCGCATAGCTATTAGCACATTTAATAATGAGACGGAATGACAAGCTTATTCATCAAACCAAACAGTGAGAAATAAAATCAACAATGAGATAGAAAATTGCCGATGCTTCCGATTTTTAATATTCTTTTCTACAATTTTTTATTGACAATTTGACACCATCGATGAAGTTGGCACGAATGGCTTTTTTTTTCGATGTAGAAAGAAAAGAGAAGAGGAACGTAAATTAAGAAAATAATAAAATGGCATTTATAATGAGACAATAAGTGAGCCGAATATGTCTGAATTAAGTAATTTGGAAGATTTATGATGTGTAGGAGACACACACATGGCTTTGTGACAAAACGACGAATATTTTTGTATAAAATAATTTTAATGGTGATGAAAAATAGAAAAAAAATCAAAATTTTAAGGCACAACTTGTGTGTCTGTCAATAATATCCTTTATTAGAAATTTCCGTAAATATAGTTTGATCCCTTTTTGTGGCAATCTAGTCCTGATTATAGTTGTTATAGTAATTACAAAAAATTTTATTCAAATACTAATAAAATTAGCCTAGTGATAAGCTGTAAGATCTGCATCGAAAGTTTCTCGAAACCCAATAGCTAAGCCACTTGCATTTATGAACATTGACATGGGTGTTTTGGTGGATAAATTGGGATAAACTTTTAAGCTTTAGAATTTAAATCGAATTTTTGATAATTCTTAGATTTACAGCAATCTAATCACTAGGATTCGAAAAATAATTTTATATTCAATAAGAGAAAAATTCATGTTCAAAAAATTAAAGATTTTAATGAAAAAAATAAAAATTAGAAAAAAACTTGAAAAAACTTCAAACGAACTTTTAAAATTCAAATTAAGAGCTTTGCGAGAAGAGAAAACGAGAGCTTTTTTACAAGAATTGTAAATTTTTAAAAGTTGTGAAGAAAAAAGTTTTGTAAAAAATATTTTAAAATTGTGTAGAAAATTTTACTAACAGAAAAAAAAGTTGTAATAAATAAAAGAGATGTTGAGAGAAAAAGCACATGATGTGAGTTGATTTATTGACTTTAAACTTTGAATTATTTTCAGTGAAATATGAATTAATATTAAAACTTTCAGAATGAGATTTATTAAAAAAGATTTGGTTTTTTAAAGCTTATCCAATCGGATTTGGTTTCAAAGTAAAAGATGATACTTATGTCGAGTAAAGATGATTAAACTTTAAAAGACTTAAATTTAACATTTTCTTCATGGCGTGGAAACTCAGGATTAATTCAAAAAAATCCCAAAAATCCCAAATAAATCCCTGAGCCAATAAACATATGAAATGAGAAATCCCTTTTAAATCCCTGATGCATTTGATGAATAGTTTCGGGATTTAAAACGGATTTTATATTTCCATGTTTATTGGCTCAGGGATTTTTCAGGATTAATCCTGAGTTTCCACGCCTTGATTTTTGTTTAAGAAATTGTGAAAGCAGGAATGTAGCTAAGAGGAATGGAGTTTTTTGAGAAAACAATACGAAACCACACATCCCACCAAATTTTTTTGGCTATGTCGTTAAATGAAAGCAGGACGTAGCTACGCGTAGCCAGGATTTTTGAATAGGGTGCTCCTTATTTTGTTCTATTTGAGAAAGTCATTCGAGTTAAAGAATTATGATCGTAATAAGGGCTACATCTCAGGATAAATTGATGTGTCCTCTGATTCCACCTCTTCTAGTCAAGCATCTTATCCTATCTAAAATTCGATCTTTGGAAAAACCGTAATTTGCGATTCTTTAATTTTTTAAAAAATTTTGATAATTAATTTCAATAAAATACCAAGTTAAATTGACAATAACAATTTCAAAATAGCTTCATCACATACTCGATGCTCTTAACATTCCACAGAAGAAGAAAAGTTCATTTATTTATCTACCTTGAGTCTCAATATGTAGAGTACATCCAAAAAAGTAATATTGAAGACTTAAAGACGTGAGTAATGAAATCAGATTAAATATTGATATTTAACTTAATCATTGCAATACTTACTTTCGAAAAATTTGTTCGATACAGTAATATTACTTTGTACCTCAAATATTACAAAATTGAACCACAAAATATTTAAATTATTGACGATCAATTAAATAATATAATGGAAAGAGGAACAGCCAAAAAAAAAGTTTTATAAGGAAACTATAAGAACTCACAACTTGAAATTAATTGATGAAACTTATTAACCTTGTTGGTTAACGCCTTAAAAGTTTTACATTAAATAAATTGCAGAACAAATCAAGTTTGAGTTCTTCGATTTAATCTTACAGCACAGGTCAAATGTTGACAGCATAGAATGCGGTAGTTTCACTTACAATTATTTTTTCCTGAAGCGAGCTTTCTTCTAATGCTGCAAGTTTTTTTTTATGAACTTGAATTATTTTTTTGCTGTTTGCGGTTAGACTTAGCATGCTGTTTGAAGAGCTGTTCAGATGAAAAGAAGTTGATATTTAGAAATTGAATGCAGCTCATTTTTCAATTTTTTTTATTATTGAGGAATAGATTTTGATTAATTGAAATATCTTTTAATTTATATGGAAATAAGTTAAATTGTTCTTTTTTAGAATTGTAAAATATTTAACAACATGGAAGATGGTTCCTTTTCCTGAAGTTCATTGAGAATAATGTTTTAGAGAAACCACAAGAGTCAATGATCTTTAAATGTTGAATTGTAGACGTTTTAGTAATTTTTGTTGAATAACTTATTATTACGTCCACTACCAGGAACGCCCGTCCTTACAAATCCTATTTCTTGTTTTTAAGAGCAGCATCAAACCTATGTGAAGGACTCCGGTCCAAGTTCGAATTTCGAATTGAAACTTGGCTTGTTTAAAGGGACTAAAATACGACCTGCATTTTTCTAGCACCATTAAATGATGGATGTCATAAATTGATGACAATTAACCGACTTTATAATTGATCCTTACTTAATAACAAACTTCGCTGTCCGTAAAGATCAATTGTGATCCATGACCTCCCTTAGAAGGCGCATGAAGCTGGCGCTATCGCGAGCTCCCTATCGAAATGGGATTATAGACCTATAATCACAAAATGTCCTTTTTCACTTTTCCTTTTTTGAGTCATAAGTAATGGAAATGAGGCTCACTGCCTTTCTTTGAAGGCTACACACAGAAATATCATCAAAGTAGTGGTTCGGATTCCACTTTAAAGTGAAGGTCTAGGTTTGAGTGCAATGGTTTGGCGCATACTTATTCGTTAAACTCTCATTAGCTGCAAATCGTCCTAGCGCACCTCTGGATCACAATTGATCTGAATTGGTAAAGGTTTTTATTTCTTTTCTTTTTATTCACAAAATGTGCTGGTTTGACTGCTCCCCAACTGTGAAGATAGCTTACTTTTTACAAGCTTTTATCAAACTTTATTGAATTCTTAAACGTTTGAGTTTGGGGTCAATTTTATGATATTTTTGATGTAAAACTTACCAGAATTTATAACAGAAATCTCCTAGCAATGTTGAATTGTTAATTCCTATTAACAGTTGTGTCAACCAGAAATTAATTTTATTTACATCCATTAGTCACAAAAATAACATAATATTCATAAAATCAGCTTCAATAAGTCTTTGCCTCTTAAAACCCACCAAGAGAAGCATCTAATGCAACTCTTTAAAACCATCTAAATGACATCTCTATAATTTGGCATATCAAGTATTCTTCCACGTTCAACCAATTACAAATAGTCTCTAAACAATTGTGCACATCTTTGAAAGCCTATAAAAAATTATTCAAATTGACACTCGAAATGACAAAGACAAGGAAAATAGCAGAAATTCTTCATTTCTTCACATTGAAATGTTCGAGAGAAACATCTTGTGACATTTCAAATACAATTTTATTTACAGAGCATCCATGCAGTTAGAAAAAACATACTTAAAGCATTAAAATCAATTATTGTTGTTGCAATAAAATTAAATTCAGCTCACAAAAGCAAATTCTGGTTCATTTAATTAGAAAAAAATATATTTTTTATTTTATTGTATGAAAGACTTAATGCTGATGGGCATGAAATATTGTTAATTTCATAGAGGATCTGTACAGTTTACTTTGCCATTTAACATTAATGTAGCCGGCTTTTAGAAGAAACTTGTAACTGTAAACCTGAATTAGCATCAAAATAATCTAGTTCTAGTCATTGATTTGTTCATTGGACAAAATGTTCCAACATTTAAATTCAAACCTTTAAAACATCTAAACAATAAGTTGCCAAACAATTCCACCTGAAATGTAATGCAGATACCGACCAAAATGAGAAGGTAAACATTTCTAGCAGTGCATCTATCTACAGCACAGAAACCAGCATGAATTTTAAATTGAAATATTTTGTTTACTTGTTGGAATTCTATTTGCAAAACTTCTTTAATGTGAACCGTTTCATCACATGACGACTAAGGATTGAAATTAAACTATAGTGGAACGAATTTTTGATGCTGAAGACTCGTGAAATTGATTTCATAGTGACACTGACTTTTTGGAACAGAAACAATATTTGAAGAATAAGTCAAAATATTTTATGATCGTTGCTGAATCATGTTTGACTTTGGTTAGTAAAAAGTAATTAGTAAGATATAGATTGACTTTGTAGGATTGAATTCAGAGCAAGTAAAGAAAAATTTGCGATTTACGGTTGAATTCTACAAATATGACCTTATGCTTCAATTTGAACAACATTGGATGTCAGTAATGATGATACAGTGATTTCTTTCACTCCAAATGCTACATACAACACAGAGGCAAGTCTAAATGTTTGCAACAAATTGGAAGTTATATTCTTGATATCAATTGTAGAGAATCTGTTGATTTTAAAATTTATCATCCAAAAATTTGACCGACTGTTTCAAGCTCGAAGCAAAAACATCTTTAAATTAAACTGTTGGAATTTTCATTTCTTATGCCTTAAGTTTGCATTTTTAAAAAATATATATTTTGGAAGAATCAATAAGAATTTCTAATTTTACGTTCCACTTTGGAAGAATTGCCAAACAATACTGATTGAATTCTAAACTCCACTAAAATAAGTTTTTCTTTATTATGCATAAATCTTTCATCCGATCAATTTATTTTATGTCCAAAAATATTCATCGATTGATATATTCTCCTTTCCTCCACAAACTTACTGCATAGCCAGCAGCAACACAATTTCTTACATGTAGACTCTCCAAAAGCCACAACACAAACAGCCACAAACTCTGCACGACGCACAACATTTAAATGCTCTTTTTGTAGACATTTCTTTCTTCTTCTCATCGCATGAAGACAGCACAACACAGCACGAAAGAAAAACAAAGCACAAAAAGCTCTTACGAAATTAAGATGAGACATGTGTGAGTGCCGTGTGCTGTGCACAATGAAATAAGAAAAAAAATCAAGACGAGATGTTTCAGTTGCAAAAAGATTTTCATTTGAACAGCATCGAAAATTCGGATCGGTGCGGTATTATTTTGAATCTAAGTCGGGTCTTAAAGTGAAGTAATAAACTTATTTGCATTTAAGAAGTTTTTTTTTGTGTGAATGGAACTTTTTTTCTTGTGGATATTCAAATGATTGGATTTTTTTTAAACAGAAAAAATATTAAGAATGTTTTATTATTTATTGGACTTAAATTTTAAAAATTGTGTGATTTTATTTAAAAAAAATTATTTGTTAAACAAACTCGTGAGTTTTGTTTTTAAAAAATGATAGAAATATATTTTTGGAACAAGTGTCTGTAGGTGGAGATTTTACAACATCTTAGTGGCTTACTTGAACTTTTTGTTCATCCTCGATCTTCAAAAAAATATAATTTCACTTTCATTTGATGTTTGTCGAGCATCTCTACTCAAAAAGTGCTCAATCATTTAGAAGAATGATCGAAAAAAATGAAAAGATCGTGAATATTTTGGGTCATGAATTTATGCTGGCTTGTTTATGAACTTTCAAAATACTTAAAGATTTTTTTTAAATATTAAAACTTAAAATAAAGTGAAATTTAATTTCAAATTTAAAACCTGGAGAATTGAAAATTGTTAATTTTTTTAAATTTTTGAAATATTAAAAACTTTAAAAGTTAAAATTTTAAAAGATTCAAATTTTTGAAAATTAAAAATTTGAAGTTGAAAAATTGAAAAATTAAACTTAGAAAATTGAAAACTTAAAATTAAAAAAATAAAAACTTATATTTTTACGTTTAAATTTTTTTTTTTCAAATTTAAAAATAAGATTTCTTTGAAAAAATGTCCAAACATTGTTTATAAAAAAAATCCATAAATATTTCTCAAAATCCTTTTAATCCCCAAAAAACGTGAATATTTTCAAATTCTTCATTCCCCAAAAAAAGTGAATATTTTCAAATTCTTTCTTATCTCAAACGTGCTCAGTTCTCAACAAATTCAAATGATCTTTATGGTTATGTAATTTTTGGCTTCCACAAAGATTATTTCATTCAATTTAGTTCCTTCAAAAAAAAGCAAAAAAAACAGCCATAAAAATTTTAAGACATTCAGTCACAGAAAAAAGTGCTTTAGTTCAAAAACAAGAATATTCCAATTAGGGAGGAAATTAGTCGATGAATATTAATTTTTTATCAAAAATCCTCAATAACAGAGATTTTACAAGAACTTTATTTAACAACTTTTTCGTGACTAATTCATTCTAAAGTTGGATTTGAAAAGTGTTGGAGGCTCAATTTTAATAATTTTTGCCATAATTCTCATGTTTTGAGGCTATCGAAAATGAGTTTTGGCATTACACAGAAATGGTCTGTCATTATCAATAAATTATTGTAGTTTATTGCCTGAATATAAAGTTATGAAGTGGATGGTTATCATCTGAATGGAAATTATATGAATTCAGGTTGTAAATTTGTGCAGATTTGCAGACTTTTATGCAATAATTTTAAGGAAAGTTCTCAAAAGAAAGAAAATATTTAAAAATTGTAAATGTGATAAATTGATCTGCAGGCACGACTCAAAGCTTTGAAATAAATTAAGGAAGGCATTAAAGTTTTCAAAAGTCTGTAAATTATAAAATATTATTTAAAATTTGAAAAATTCTCAACATTTTTGACTCAAGCTACAATTCTCAATATTTTAATGAAATTCAGCTTCAAACTAGTTTTAAAAGAAGTTCCAAAAATAGCTTAATCAGCTCATTATCTACTTTATCAACAACAGAATGCAAATCTTGCAATATTTCACCATAAAGCTCAAAATTGAAAAATATCCTCATTCAAATGACTTTTTTTGATTCTCACAAGCGCAGTCAGTCCAATTCTCGTGGTATTATTAATTGGATTTCAAAATATCAAAGCGATGAACTTCTTTTTAATTTTTCTCCGAAAAGATTTTTGAACTCCAGAATTAAGATTTCTTGAGTATGCTTGCGGCATCACGTTTTCAAATATGCATATATGTAAAATTGTTTTTGGATCTAAATATTTCATCTCTTAAGAATATTTTTTGTCGTGCTAAAATATTGATAAATGCTGTGTTGTCAAGGATGCTTGACCTGAGTATTGTTAAATATTCTTAAAGCACGATTGTGAGTTTCTTTAATGCTTATCAATTTTTTTGAAAATGCGAATCGTTCTTGAATGCAATTATTTCTTATAAATCAGATGAATATGTCCACTGCGTTGAATGAAAAATGATTTATCAAACTCTTGTCTCAATAATCCATGTAGATCACTTTTGTGCATTGCCAAATATTTCTAAAGCTGTTGAAAAAACATTTTATGACCAAATAATGTGACTTTAACATTTCACAAAACTGCTCCAATTTCTGAAATCTGAAAATTTTTGCATTTTATAATCATCCATCTTTAATAGGTCCACTTTGACAACATCTGAATTTAAGAGATTATCAACAGACATTTTATTAGACTTGTCTTTTTTTTCCTTTCTTTAAAATATTCAATTAGCCTTCCGTCACTCCTTTTTATTTGTAAACAGCAACAGATCCACGTTTTTTAAAAATCATCATTAAATCAGCCTTGATACAAATTTATAGCCTTAATATCCTCACTATCTAGCTAAGCAAATCACAAATAGATCAATTTTTATAAACAGATCAAAAAGACATCAAATTGAAGCACATTCCATAAAATATGATCACACATATTTGATATCAATGTCCGATAATAGAAAATATGAGATTACCGCAAAGATTTGCCATAAAAATTTTTCTTTATTTGTTGACGTTCCACACAAATTAGATCGAAGCTGAAACAAGATTTCTTGACATTTAATTCAGTCGATTGCTTCTATATGATGATATTTTTGGTAGTCGATCACGTAATAAATGTATTTCTCTGCTTTTTGATACTTGTGCTATTCTCATCGATATGAAATTTTTATTGCCATTAGAAAAATATAAAATAAGATTTGGAAATGACTGCTGATTTGATTTGTGGAATTTATTACCCAAGATTGATTGAGTGGTTGTTGTTCTTGGAGGAAGCATGTACTCAGGAGCACTATTTATATGCTGAATGTGGTCAAATAATCATAATCATGAAAGTCTTAGTTCAGTTCTTATTTTAGACTTTAAAATAAAAGAATCTCAAGGAATTAGATCCAAAATGTAAGTTTCGAGTTAGATTCATTCTAAAATTATTACAAACAGTTTCATCATCCTCCATATCTTCTCCGCAATGAAAGTGAATTTTTTTTCAATCCACATTTTTCTCTAAATCAATACAATCTAAATTCTAAGGTGTGCCTGGGCCTAATGATCCATATTTCTCATGATAATTCGATTTGATTTGAATTCTTGTTTATCGTTTAGCTGTTTAATAAAATATTTTAATTTGAGTCACAAAAAATATTCAACTTGCAAATTAAAATATATCTTGTGATGAGAGAGAAAGAAAGAAGCAAGCAGCAGGTGGTAAATTACATGAAAAATGTATAAATGTGACATTTTCAATGTTCTTATTAAGAATTTACAACATTCAAATTTTTTTGTATCAATAATTCAATCCGATGAAACCTTTTAAAACAAATTTAAGCCTTATTCGAGATAAAAATGACAGAAGTATCATAAACTGTTCAAAAATCATGAAATTGATTTGGGATCTCGTAAATCAATTATGTCATCATATAAATATAACCGATGGAAAAACAAAACAAGCTAAACATAAATAGGAAATGAATAGAAATTAGATGACTGTAAATCAATTTATTTTAGAATATTCAAAGTTGATTGGGTCGCTGTGGATTTTGAAATTCTTTGGTCAATAAAATGACGATTTGAAATGAAGCTTGTGTCTTTAAAATCCTGATTGATTTCACAAAAATTTATTCAGTCAAAATTTTGGTTTATTTTTATTTCGCCATTCTCAAAAAGAGAGGATTTTGATTGTTAAGAATTTAAATTCATAGTTTTGAGATTTATTGGAGATAGTTTTAAATCTTGAAAGCAAACGAGTTCGCATAACATTTTAAAAAATTTATTTGCTTTTTATCCAGCTTTATATGATGGTAAAAATTGATTTATGGCTAGAAATGATCTTTATCAAACTTAAATCACTTTTAGGAAGAATTTCTTTATTTTATTGGATTTTTAATAAATAAAATCATTTTGATGGATTTTTTTATATGCTAATATAATCCAAGATGAAACTAGGAACAAATCTAAGCAAAATTTCACAAAAAGAGATTTTAAAATCAAAAATTTTCAAAAAAAACCTTAATTAAACATTTAAATCTTCCCTGATCCTTAGAAAAATTCTAACCAATCAACCCAAGTTCTAGACAATTTAGAGTAAGTTATTAAAATTTTAAACTAAAAACCGAATTCTAATAAATTTCAAATAGAAATTGATCATCCAACAAACTATTAAAAACTTTGTTGAAAATCGCGTCATTTCTACCAAATCTCACACCAGTTTTCTTCTCCAAAACATGATATTCGTCCATTCTTCAAATGCCAATAACCCGCAAAAAAAAATCAAGAATGGATTTTGATGACCTTAACACCACAGATGCTTAATTGCTTTCAACTTTCAAAACATCTTTGTTATTTGAAATTTATATGCACAAAAGAAAATATTTGTATATGCTGATGTGTCTGATTATAGAGATTACCGATCATAATATTTAATTAGTTTAATGCTATGAGAAATTTGATTCTTCTTATTATCCATTAAATAAGATTGAGGATGTGTCTTTTGTTCCTTTAATTTACATTTTTTTCCATTCACATTTCGAGATTTTGTCTTTCATTTGTTTAAATTTCATTGAGCTTTGTCAAAAATAAAACAATGTTTTTTGTGTTCTTTAAAGTTGAGATGAAAATTGAGATGAGAGAATGGATAATGAGGCAATGATTATGATAATTTGCAGTTGTCGACAAGCCTTCAGGATAAAGCAAATAAATATGCTTGAAATAAAATTTTATGGTTCTTGAGAAGGATGATAATTTCAGGGTTTTATGGCTCATCAATCTAGAAATCAAATAAATCAAAAATTTAAACATTTCCATTTGTTTGATATTCTCAAAATAATTTGAAAATTGTTCAAAAAGCTTCAAAATCATAAACAAGTGACATCATTCACAACATATTAAGTCATCCAGCCCCTAAAAAAGTCTAGAATCCTTTAGAAAATATCTCAAACATCCAAACGACAACCTTATGTCTAGTTATTATTGAAAAATCTCAATTAACTTCTCACGCAAGTGTTAATAATTCGCTAATCTTTGAATTTAACATGACACCTCACATGCTAAGCATGAAAGCAATAGATTAATAGATGTGATAATTGTTAGAAAAGGTTCTAGCTTCACAAATTCTATTGTCAATTCCTAATCTCTATTTTCATAAACCAAACCTATCATTTACAAAAGGAAACAAGCTCAATATCAAAAACAGAAGATTAAACCATCAAATTAATAATTTAATGTCCAATGATGCTCATCCATTGTTCCGAAACCTTTTGTTAACACTTGGGCAGCTAATAAATATTTTAAACATTCCTCACCCATTCCATTGTTTTAATAACAAATTACACGTAAAAAAATTTAATTTCCTTCCCTTGATGTCTCAATTTACTATCAATGTCCAATTCTATTTCATGTGAGCAAAATGTCTTATGTCATTTGATAAGAAGATGACTATGAATGTCATCGGAAATAGAGATCATTTTTAACCAAGCGACAAATCCATAAATTACTATTTGCTGTTGCTTTTGAAGATGAGTTTCGCCCGTGTGATGCTGTGTCATTTTAAGAGGTTATCGGATGTATTGGACAGGCTAGCTAATGGATATAAATCAAAGACAGAAATTTTTTTCATGTCATTTCTAACCTCAACCCTAGAAAATGTTTAAAAACCAAACCTATGAAAGTTTGCCGTGGCACGCAGCTTGCCCAACACTGACATAAATTTGAATTTGTTTATAAATTTTCATCCAAAAGTGCCAAATAAATTTTTGCGCCCATAAAACAATCACATAACTCTTAAAATACTGCTCGGAGATAACAAACTGTCCATCCATTTACCTTCTCAATTTTCATTATCACACGGTCTCCACTTGTCGTTCTGTGACCGATAAAAAGCTGCTCCCTAAAAAAATTGTCTTGTGTATCATTTCCATCTCACATTATGTAAATTAATGACATATGATGTATGTGAAGCTGAATTATGAATCTCCGAATGATATCGGAGTGAGTTTATTATTGCGGTTAATATGAATCTCGTGAACGGTTTCTCTGATGATTGTCAAGGTCGCCATTTGTATATATTAATGTCAATCATGACTCAATTTCTTTCTCTTTCCAACTCAGCTCAGTGCTGGCTTTAAATATCATTTACAATCACTTTACGAAGCGTTTGGAACTAGAAATTGAAGTATTTTTTTTGCAGCATAGAAATTAATTTGATTAAAAGGGTCAGCGCAAATGCGAAACTCTTTAGGCGGTCTTTACAGTTGATCGTGTTGTGGATATTAGCGAATTTATTGCTCTGCTAATGATCAAATAATCGCTTGTGTCTTTGAAATGATATTGTGAAAGATTTTGCAATATTTTGTGATATTTGATGACTTTTTACTTTGGATTCATGCTTAAGGCTTTATAACAGTAGATTAGCTGGGAGGTCCATTCAAGCATTTGTTTTTCAAGTCCAATAATAGATTATTTCTTTAAGAAAAAGCAAGGATCAACAATCCAGAAACTCAAAAATATCCAGAATAAATTAATGACAATTTGTAAAGCAACGGAGCTTATAAACGCTATCTACACGACTGATACAGTTGTTTAGCATTCAAATTAACTGTTGACATTAAAACTTGCAATTTATTGTCTTAATTTGATTTCGAAAAAGCTGATCCTCTTGCTTAAAATAGAACTATCTTCATATTCAGGTAGAAGATTCTTAAAGATGTTCAGCAAATGGATCATTTGCTTATGATGTCCAGCTTTTAGGAACGATAGATATTTCATTCTCTAAGATTTTTTGAACACATAATGACGATAAAGTCATGAAATCATATTAACTGCTAGACATCAATTTCAAAATAACGCTCAAGAACTGTTTCTGCTGCTTGATAAGATTTTTTTTAAAAAAATTCCGTTCAGATTCTCGATTCCCTAATCAATAGCTTGACATGACAATTCCATATCCGTAAAACAAAAGTCAGACTCTAACAGTTAATAAAGCTTTGTTTAAAATCTTTTATCCCATCGTTTGCCTACAAAAATTCTCATTTTATCACCTTAAATATCAATTCCTCCTTATTGAACCTGTTCACTGGAGAATTTTATGCGTTTTCAACTTTTCGATTTGTGGACATTTCTTAAAGATTCTCTCATAAAACACGTTTTTGATTTTTTAATTATGAATATTAAAAAAAAAATCTTTTCTGTGTATAGAATTAATATTATCGGCATCTGCACGTGGAAAGCTGTTTATCTACTTGAAACGGAATATTTTTTAAAAAAAAAACAGAAATGTTCTTGATTCTAGGTCGAATGTATTTAAATTTAGTCAAGGCTTTACGAGTAAGTTGATCAAGTTGCAAGTACCGTTGCCATTTCTAAGAACTTGACATAACTAGAGATCTTGATAAATTATCGAACATGTTGATTGCGGACGGAATACACCGCTAATGATCTTTCTGATGAATAATGGAAGCTAATAATGAAGATATTCTTTACAGATATTAAATAATGAAGAAATTCTAACGTCTATAAAAAGAGTTGAAAAGGATGATAGAAATCAAAGTCATTTTTATTGCGGCAATAAATCTGGGCTAATTTTGTCTACAAATTCCAAAGACATTAAAGATATTAATCTCTAATGTTTCTCCTCAGAGTTGTGCCTAATGGGTTTTGAAAGAAGAAATTAATTCATTAGTAGGCAAATAAGTGAGTAAGATGAGAAGGTTTTAGGAGGTTTTAAAGCGCTTTTTGGACACAAACTGGTTAGGTCTGAATTATGAATAACACATACTATCCATGTCACCTTGCCCTAATCGATGAAATATTATATTTTTAACCCAAATTAAAGTTCGGTTTTTGGTTTTAGAGCAAAGTAGGCCTAGAAACCTACTCTTAGTCTTTTTTTATTTTCAACAAAATGCTTAGAAATTCTTCTGATTCATAGACAAAGAAATTTCCCAACAGTTCACCTTTTTAACATTTAGAAGTCATTAATAATTATGATTATACGGAATCATCATTTAGTCAAGAAGCTTTGCAAACTCTTTAAAATTCTCATCGAGGATCGTCTTCAAAATATAAAAATTTGAATTTTTCTATCTTAGAAATTCTAATTAATGCATGACTCGTTTGTTTCACGTGATTTCATTATAGATTTAGTCGTAGCTTGTTTTCGAGCATGAATTTATGGGAATTCTATGACATTTTTCCTTAGATTTTTAAAAGAGGTTCATTAGGTTCGATGTGTATGTTTAAAATCTTTTAATATTTTGATATTAATTCATGATCTAGAGTTGTTGATTTCTTGTGGAAACCAGGTTCAAAAGTGAGAATGCAACTCAAATAAATTAATTATATAAGCTTATAAATCTTAAATAAATCCAATCAATTGTTTTTAATTTTTAAGAATGAAGTCTGAACATCTTGTGTGTTTTTTGATTGCTAAAATTCTTTAATTCACATCATTAATCCATGATTTTATTTTATTTCCTCCTCTTCCACAAATAGTCATTCAAAGTCGTTTGATAGAAATAGAATTTTTTTGAGTGTCTAATTCTGTGTCGCAAAAAACATAAAGAAGTGTGAAAATAAGAAACAACAGAGATGAAGAAAAGCACAACAGCCGTTATGGCATTTCCATTTGTTTATTGGATCATCATCCTACTCAGCGCAGGTATCCTCGATGCTCGAACAACAGGGAATGTGAGTAGATACACAACTTTTTTTTTTTAAGATATATTGAGATTATCTTATGAATATGATAGACTATTATTAGGCGTGCTGCACATAGCACACACAAAAAAAATGTGAAATTGATTTTTTGCTGGATTTCTTATTTTGAAGATCAAGTGTATTGATTTATGCGGCAGCACTCATCATTCACCTTGTTACTTTCAATATAGCCTGTCAGATTGTTTATGTTTGTGAACTTTTCACATGTTTAGATTTTCATCTGTTCATCTTCTTACTGTTCCGTAAAGATTTTGTCAGTTTTTATTATAGATTTTCTGATTCCTCGAGATACTGTCCATAAACTTGACAATATCGACATAAAACTTTCAAGTTCAGAGCAAACAAAATTAAAATTCAATCAATAAATCTGACAATTTCTCATTCAAAGCCTTCAACATCAAGATACCTTAAAACAATCATAAACAGAATATTTGACTTTTTATAGGCCATCCATATTGATCAATTACTTAACCATTTCCACAATCATATCCATTTCTCATTTACTTTAAGTTGAAGATCATCTGAAATCTCATTTAAATATTGTTTATCTAATTACGCAGCACACACACGCTGCTTGTTGTCTTAAATTGATTTTTTTTTTCAATGGGCCAAGTCCTCTTTTACACACGAAAGGTCAAATTAAAAAGAATATCCATAAAAATCGGCAATTGTGGCATTTATGAGATAAATTTAAATATTTGCAAGTAAAACTGTTTGAGTTTTTTGATATTTATGTCATAAATCATTCAGTCTTAGTTATCACAGATCTTATTGGTGAGTATGCTGTGTTAAACGACGCCTCCTGATGATAAGTGCTTGTAAAGTCTCAAAAATGATGATTTTTACATTGATGAGGGTCTGGCAGGGGGTAATTAAAAAAATTCATTGACAATGGCAATGAAAAGTCCTTTTAAATCATGGACAGATGCCAATGGAGATAGGAAAAGTATCTGTTTAAAAAGTATCGATTTAAACTAGCTACTCCAAAAACCAAAAACTCAAAAATAATCTACACAACTTCTGCTTACTCATCTTTAAGATACTAAGTCTCCCGGTATCATTAATCACTAGAACAGCTTAATCATGTGTTAAATTACTTTAATTTCCGAAATCACTCATTTGCCCACCTGTCTTAAGAGCTTTAGCAATAAGAATCCAGAACTTGGGTTAATATTTATCGTCACTCATAACAAGAATCTCTTAAAATCTTCTATAATAACATCTTATCTTCTTTCTGTCGATCTCTATCGCTGTCTTTTATTATCATGAAAAAAATCTTCTCCATTTTTCTTCCTGTGACATTGAGAAGGAAATAATAAGAGGAACAATAGGTTAAGTCATTTAGATAAATAAACGTGCCACTGTCGAAAATCATTAAAATTCTCATTTCAAGTTCTAATGGGAATGATGAAAAATGGATGGTAATGTAAAGAGTTGAATTTTCTCAAAATGAACACTTCATAAAATTAATAAATTGAGATAAATCGGTTAGAATTAAGAATGAATGTCGCTGATAATCAAGAGATTTTTATGACTGTTAAGCATAAATGAGATATTGCGGCTAATTGTCTGAAGAAAATATTAAGTGAAAAATTGTTTTATGAATTAGAAGACTAGATTAATGGATAGTCATTACTGATTTCCGCACGCCGGGAGTTGTGCTTAGATTTTATACATAGATAAAAGTTACATACAAGAATTCCTTGAGATGTTTTGATTATAAAAACCTATGTTCCCCTTCTTTATTTAACCCTGAGTGTTGGTTTGGTAATCATAATGTTATTTTATTTATATATGAAGTTAATTAAAGACTCATGGATTTGTAATTAATAACAAGATGTTTATTGTTCGACAAATAGAAACAGATTAAATATTTATATGAAAGGGGTTAACAACTATGCAAGGGAAAGTAAACTAATTATAGTTGTATACATAATTTGAATATGAAATGACCGTTAATATATTCTTAACACTAAGCTTCTTTTGGGCGATTCCATGGGTAAATGGAACTGAAAATTTTTTGTTCAAAAACTTTTTTAGCTTTTTCTGCTTAAATATACATATTTCAACATATCTTTTCACTAAATAAGACTTATTATTCATCAATTCATGTGTTATTAGCATTTAATCGTCTTAATTATGCTGCATTTTGACAAAAATATGTAATGTGTTTTGCAATAATCGGTTGAAAGTTGACCGATTAAGTGGTGTTTTCCCCAATTTTCTCCTTAATTACAGTAGTAAGACATACAAATAAGATATTGTTATAAAGCACAGGCGATTTCACGTGTGTTTATCATAGATTTGTAACACAACAATGGATATTCAAAGAAAAATTGATAAAAATTTAAAAATCAATTTTTTGTAAAGTTGACCGATTAAGTTTGGTTTTTTTAAAATATCTTTTGTCAGACAGATTTAACTAAAAGATTATGCACTAAAATACATAAATACCATAATAATAAATAAAATAAATCTTAAATATGGCGTTAAATGAAGTTAATTAAGGAAATATTTACAAAAAATTGAGTTGAGAAAAAAAAAATTCACTCATGGAATCGCCCTTTTTTAATAAGGATATCGTTTAAAGAATTTATTATATTACTTCTCAACATTAAGATCTTTTACAACAAACCAGTTCATTCTCAATATTATTTATCAAATTGTTAATCATAAACTTAACACAAAAACCTGCTTCAGTCACACTTCCAATCACCGAAACAAATCCTCTCAATCAATATTTAAGTAATCAAAAGTCATTCCGTGACTCAATTTTCATGCTAATTTATTTTACTACTAAGTAAATTAACTAGGAAGCAAATTCATCACTTAATCTATATCGTCATTAGAACTGCTTGCGAAAATATTTGCAAATGAAAACTAAGACTAATTACTTTAGGTGAGGAAGAATTTCACGTTCGTTATTTTAGGATAACTTGGCTTTTTTGGAATGATTTAAAATAAATTAAATATTTCCGTAAACACTCAACTTAATATAGCTCATATTTATTTAAATACCAAAGAATTTTTACAATAAATTCCTCACACTCATCGATCATCGTTCCTTAATGTTTATTCATTAACCAGCTGAAACCATCTTCTGTTTACCAAAATTTGCTGAATTATTTTTTCCACAGTCTTAATTGATCGACCATAAAATCAAACAGAAACATCCAAAGCGATGAGAATTTTAATTTACTACGGCTCATCTGTTTACTAATTCATATTAATAATGAAATTGTATGATTATCTTCATGGACATTTACTTAGTCATTTAAATTAAATTTGTCCACTCAACATGTCAACTTATCAGAACAACAAAAGAAAATTATTTATCGTCAATTTAAATGCTTAATTTAAGGTCAGTAATATTCATGAAAATAAAAAGTCATGAGATATTGAGAAAAGACTGAGAATCAGACGCGTAGCCAGGAGGGGAAGGGGGGGGGGGGGGGAATTTGAGGGACAAATCCCCCAACGGAAACAGAAATTTCTTTATTTTGTTTGGGTTTTTATAAAAAAATACCCCCCCCCCCCTTAAATTTTTCCATACAAAAAAATTTTTGTCTCTCCCTCTTCAAATTTCTTGCTACGCCCCTGACAAGAATAGTTCGGATATAAAGTTTCAAACGAAAAATGGTTAAACAAAGGTCTAGTGTGCACTCGTAGTACAAACTATAATAGACAATATGATTAGTTGATCGATTAAAGGCGCATGAGAGTTTTAATAAATATAAAAAAGGTTTTAAGATTAAAATTTCAATTTCATTTGATATTCAAGCTTCGAAAAATCTCATTTAAATGTGAAAATAATTCACATTTTAAGATGCCGACTCGCCAATGGTCTCATATCAACAACAGCAAGCAGCGATAATTCAAATTTATCGTATCAAATAAATCACAAAGCTGAGACGTCATTAGAAAGCTTTATAAAGAAACTTCTGCATTTTTCGCAGTTCCTTTATATGGTAAATCCTATTAAAACGTCAAATGCGATTCAATTGATGATCTGGAGACTTGCTTGTATTTTTGGTAGATGAGAAGTTTTGATTAGAATCTAAATTGATTAGGGATTAAGGAATAAATCTTGTTGACGGAAGGCATTGAAAATTTCAATTAGTTCTGACTTTAAAATTTGGAAGCTGGATTTTGATTTCATGAAAAATTTACCAGTCATTAATTTCCGAAAATTGTCAATGCTGAACCTCCGGCACTTCTTAACAACATTAATCAAATCATTGTCAGCTAATTTTACACAAGTAAATTTTGTAACATTCATTTCAATAAGTCAACATAAAGATGACTGTAATTGACTGCAGATTGAGTATGATGTGATATTTTATCTCCTAATATCATTACTTCAAATGAATGTCTGACCATTGTTGAGCGATAGACATTTACAAATTATTTTTTGTGTTTCACATTCGCCTCCATATACTTTTCTCTCTTCTCTTGAAAATGTTCATTTCTTGTGGGCATCACAAGACAACAACTTTATTATTATTTTAAATAATAATAAATATTTTGTAATAACAAACGGCACTGCTGTGTGTACATGAGAGGAATATTTTGTTATGGTTTGGGGATATAAATCAGTGGATGCTGAGTTTTTGGAGCGCATTTAACTGCTTTATCTGCCTTTTATCATTTAATATATTTACCGACAGTTTGAATTGTGTAGACCCTGATTAAATCAGGTTTTAATCATTAATGATAATCTGATAATTGTTTTATTAAGTATTTATAGAGAAGAACCAGTTAATGCAGAGGAAGTGATGAAAGAAATGTCAAAATCAGCACGAAAAATTAAATTTAATGTATGAATAATGAATTAAATATTTAAACTTATGAAGAATGAATATAGATTTAAGGATACAAAATAACGGTTTTTTATTTTTCGAAAATGGGCCCCCCCCTTAAAAATTTTCTGGCTACGCCCCTGTCACCATCCATCCAAACTGATCATATCT